TGTGTGTGTGTGGGTGTGTGTGGGTGTGTGTCTATCTATGTCTCTGTTACTGTGTTTTTTTTTGTTGTGTCTATATATGTATACATTTAATATGTTATATATATATATGTATATATATCTGTAGATATGCATCTATATATACTTCATGTATATATTTATATATATGTGTGTGTGTTTCTGTATTTCTGTATTGCTGTACTTATATTTATACATATATGGTTATATCAATTTACATGTATGTATATATATATATCGCGAGTTATACTGAATGTGTTTTCTCGCTATTTATAATGTTCGCGTCTCTTCAATTTTGTCGTGGTATCATTCGATAAAGTGCGTGGAGCCACCAACGAACGAGCGGGTGCGTACCTCGCTTCCATTGTGTCGAGATCGAGAGATTTGCACCCTGAAGCCTTGTCTCCGGTTGTCTCTATAGAGAGTTCTACAAAGTATGTTCTTTTAATTGATATACTCTGTGCTTGGTTTCCCTTCTCATGTTTTTCATTAGCTCTCGTGTTACTGATTTCTTTGCAGATGTGCATTTGAATACTGACTTGATGTATTTATTAATCTGGTTATTGGCTTTCCTCTTGTAGGGTCATCCTGTCCAGCGAGTCCGGTGGTATCATTGTCTCTACTTACAGAAGTAGATAAGACTCGACGGCAACGCAGTAAATCTTATATTAGCTAACGATTCCTATAAAGTATACAAATATATTCAATTCGCACCGATGCATCGGTATTGGCAAATGATTATCTGGTATGAGTGCACTAGAAATTATGTTTATGTGTTGTTTAGGGAATCGAATGGTCTCGGAAAAGAATACCGAAATATTTACAGAGTATTGAATTCCACTCCGCTAATTGAATTTATGAAGTTTGAGTCTTGCATACTCGTATATGCAGAAAAACGGTTGGTCTACGAAATCTGCTAACATTACACACGCAAGTCTCAAGAAATGTATATGCTCATATGTCCCTGATCGTGCATTCAATTGATTTTGAGTATGTGTGAAGATAACAGATTCGCTCAAATGTGTATAGTGTGACTTTACCTGCATATTTATATACGCATGCCTATGTGTATCGTATGCTGTTGGTCGGAAAAAAATGTTTGGGCACAGAAAAGGCTGTCTACATGCAAAGATAAAGAATACGTGTGTGCGGGAATGTGGTTATTGAATCCTTATTCAGCGAATCTATCTGAAAAGTTTGAGAGTGTTTGTATACAAAGGTTGAGCTTGCAATACTTCATACTAGGTCGCCACGTGTGCATGTGTCAAATTGTGAGGATGTATAACGTAAACATGTGTGAAACTTCAATATTTGCGTGCATAAAACACGGAACTGTTAAATAACTGATAATTTACATATGATTATCAGTAGCATATAGTACATACACGCACACGTGTACGGTGAACCACTATCATAAAAACGTTTATGTGCCTGCTCCCTATATACATATTGCAGAAACGCCGCCTATAGGTATACTATTTAGATCTGTGTATTTAATTTGCGCGTGTGCATACGAAGTTTCGCGTCTATGATGTTTCAAATGTCTTGAGATATGATTAAGTGTTTGTAGATATACTATACTAGCAGGTAAATGAACGTTTCATATATTCAAATATTATATTTTGCAGTAGTTGATGAGAATTGTTTATACATATATATATATATATATATATATATACTTATATACTTATATTATATATACGTGTGTGTGTGTGTGTGTGTGTGTGTGTGTGTG